TATCAATAGGCTGTACAAATAACAATATACTTTTTACCAGATTCATACACAGAAACTGATTTTGAAATTTTCAGTCTTAGTTGTATTATAGGTTATTGTGGAGACCATCTCGACCAGGTAAAGGAATTTTTTAACCCCTTTATAGCTTAATTAGAAAGCCAGTTATATTATAATAATTTTAGGACATTCTATTTTTTAAGTGTGATAATATTCTATTTTCTAAGTTACATATTTAAAATAAATACAAATTATTTTATGTATCACAAATTTGGTTATAAAATCTGGCTTAGGTTACTTTGTCTTTCGAAAAGCAAAACAAAAACAAACAGGCTTAAGTATTAAATTTTTAGTTTTTACTTATATTTTTCATTATTATAAAAGTAACTCAAATGTAAAAATTAAAAACTTAGTATGTTAGATAAGAAAAATCATATGAAAAAAAAAATCTCTTCAAGGAATGCATGCAAGCTGCTTGCCATTATCTGTAGGTGATTTATTGCTTTGTTATGCTAATTAGACATAGTTCAAAGAACAATAAAACAATAAAATTAAATTACAAAAGATGTAAACTGTTATGCACCTGAGTCAGTTTATGATAATTATGATTGTCAGTTACAATCTACAGTCATTATAAAAATAAATTTACTTTAGATTTTATTTCACATTTTCCATTTTCACTACATATGATTTTTCTACAGTTAGGGTAGAAAAAACATGAGATAAAGTTTCTTAAAAAAATTAAATATTCATTTTGGAGGTTCTAGAAATTATGCAAATGAAATAAGAAACCTGAAAAGTGAAAAAGTATTTCTACTCTTAACACAAAAATCATCTAGCATTTCAGATTAGTAAAAGTGTATCAGACTTACTTCATAAATTCACAAACAAATCTTCAGTAAAAATAAAGTAAATTTTATTAGAGAGTCTGATCTTTTGTGTGCAGAAGACTTGTAACATTTACTAAAAGCTTACAAAACTCAATTAAATCACCTGGTAATTTCTGAATTATAGTAAACATTCCTATGTATAGCTTCAATGAAAAAAGGGGGGGGGGGAGAAGGTTTGATAAATATTTAACTGATCAGGGCTGGATTTAAGTTATTTTTATTGATGTTTGTTTTTAAGTAGATGAGACAGCCTTCATGGACCAACAGGCCCTTTATTGACTCTTAAATGTTACATTAAGTTCAGTAATTTTATTTATTATAGACTCCTGATTGACTAAACAATTAACAGATGTTTATTTCGTGAATAACAGTGAAATATATTATGGTGTTTTCCACAATCAATGTTGTTTTTTCACCATACTACAGATTGTATTATAACAATATACTTTATACTGGGTTTGTAACAAACACAGGAATGAACTGAAACACATCCAAAACAGAGTTCAAAAGGTCATAAACAAAGATAAGATATAATAGTATATCCTGATATACAGGAGTTTTGCTTATAAAAATTTTATGCTTTGAATGTTTCAGCATATCAATGCACTACATACTGTTA